GTTTTCTGAGTGTCTGTTTGTTAGTTCGCTATCATGGACTTTTTTCCATCTCGATTTTTCCTTTAACCCTTTCATGCACCCTGTAACTTGATAACATGATAAGGTGTCCACTAGGGTGGTCCATTTTGGAAAAGTTTGTCGGATTCGTCGGGCCGGGTCGGAAATCTTGTCGATACTATGACACAAGGATGTGTGCAAAATTTTATTCCGATCGGATAATTTTATCCCGTCCCGCAGAGCGACCAAAGTTTCCCCTATGGAAAGAATGTTACGGGGCTGAATGGTAGTACGGTTTCTCCCGTACAGTAAGGATTTTGTTTTGCTCAGTTCGCACTTGCAATAATTCAAAGACGGAAGACAGGAACGCATGTATTGCAAAAAAGGCAACCGTGGTTATCCTTCAACACTGGTGAGATTGTTGGTCCATGTTAACTGGTCCATCTGTCTATCTGTCCATAATGTCCATCAACACTAGTGACACTGTTAGACCACAAAAAAAAACGAAATCCGCCGTGCGTGCCATCCCATGCCTACTTCGCGCACGGGTGCAACGCCCGGTGTCGCTCCACGACCTGCAGAAGGTGCTGTCGCTGTTCCTCGTCGCGCGTGATGGCGCCGCAGAACGCGCTGATGAGGGCGACGCCCCTCTCCGCAAAGTCGTTCACCACCCGTAGGTGACGAGCGCGCCGACGAGCCGTGGTGATGTTCGATGTCGAAAAGCGTCCTCAGCTCAGCGTCCAGTAAGAATTCCGGCGATTCTCGACTTCAATTGAAAGATATTAGCTCGCCAGTAGGTGACCGTTGTGTGTTAGGCGTGCGTTTGAGTTTGTCTCCGGCTGCTGAGAGCAGCGATGGAAGGGTTAGTTAGTCAGGAGGTGATCGTTCGGGCAACATTCAGCCCAGCCAGTGTCACGCATGGCAAAATACACGGTTAAAATACACATGTTCACCCTATTGAGACCAGTTGTTATGGTGGAAACTTTGGCCGCTTTGCGGGACAGGAAAATATCATCAGATCGGAATGAAATTTTGCACAGAACCTGGTACCATAGTATCGACAAGAATTCCGACCCGGCCCGACGAATCCGACAAACTTTTTTTTTTGCCATGAAAATGTGGACCAACCTAGTGTCCACTGTAGTAACCGCTGTCCCTGAAAGGGTTAATATTGTTCCACAATATTCCAAAATTGATAAGTTCAGGAAAGAAAAGTCATAGCTTGTATCTCGACCGAATTAAGCCTTATATTTTGAGAGAATTGTTTCATGGTTTGTTTGTTTTTCTCGCTGTCTTCGGGCAGTAGGCGGGGGGACACCCTGAACTGGTCGCCAGCCAATAGGGTATACATAGACAAACAACCATCCGCACCCAAACTCACATGTAGGGACAATTTAAAGTGGTTCATTAACCTGCCACGCATGTTTTTGGAATGTGGGAGGAAACCAGAGTACCCGGAGAAAACCCACGCTGGCACAGGGAGAACATGCAAACCCCACACAGGGAGGCCGAAGCCAGAATCAAATCCAGCATCTGTGAGGCCGATGCGTTAACCAGGCGACTACCGGGCCGTAGCCATTTTCCATTCCAAATAAATGCAATGCATGTGACCATCTTACTGAGGAAATATCCATTCATCCATACATCCATCCATTTTCTGATCCACTTATCCACACTAGGGTCGCGGGGTGTCCTGCCGCCTATCCTAGCTGGCTTCGGGCGGAAGGCAAACTATACCCTGAACTGGTTGCCAGTCAGTAACAGGGCAACATATAGAAATAAACAACCATTCACACTCACATTCTCACCGTCACTGATTAGGAACCGATCCCACGCTGCCCGCTCACAAGTCGAAACCATCAGCGACTTCTAAAAGAATAATAAGACCAAACATTTCAACGCTTGTCAAAAGGCTTTCGAAAAATGCGGTGCTAATGATGGTAAAGTGCATAACAATAGCAGGACTTCGGCATCTGAATCTGTTATGAACACTTAATGAAACTTCTGGGTGACAAGTTGGAATATGTGCACTTTGAGCAGTGATGTGTTCCCCGAAGGTCGGTCCTTGGTCCTTGGCCTCGGGAGTCAAGTCCTTGGCCTTGGCCTTGGCCTTGGGAGTCAAGTCCTTGGCCGTGGCCTTGGCCTCGGGTTGCCGGTCCTCGGACACAATGAGGGATTAGAGCCTCGAATGCCTTGTCCACAGATATAAAGTGGGTCCGAGGACCGCAAAAATCACGAAGGAATCAAATAAATTCCATCCAGGGAAACGCATATTGATGGATTAAGCTGGCGCTTTAAGAGGGGCGGGTCTGCCACTGACAGGTGACAGTTAGCGCAACGTATAAAAAGCGGCATCACAGTTAGTTTCAATCACGGTTTGTTCCGTTCGCGATCGGCAGTTTAATAGCGTGGAAAGTCTTTCTGTAACAGTGGTGTCTTTTATGTAGTTATTTTTGCACAGTCGTCACGTTTGTGCGGTGGCACTAGAATGTTTGTTTGAACCAAGTAATTTGCGTTACAGCTGGAGTCAATAATGCCGGCAATTCACTTCCGGGTTTGGCCGTTGGGATTTGGAGTCCTTTTGCTCGATTCCAGTTATGTTTGCTAAATGCTTTCTCGTGTTTGGAATAATGAATATTGATAATACATAGTTTAAAATCATGGTTGATTTA